CGGCGGATCGAAGACGCCTACGGCGAATCACCGCCGCCCCCTGCCTTTTTGGAGACGCCGATGTGGCCGAAAGTTGGATTAGAGCTTGGCCAAGCTATCGGACCATGAGTTCCCCGAGTCGGTTTGGAAAGCTTTCGGGGAACACATGGGAGAGAATGATTATGAACAGGAAGAGGAAGAGGAAGAAATAGAGGAGGAGGATGAGGGTTGTTAGGAGTCTCTTGGGGCACCCTTGGGGTCTGTTGGGGGCTTCTTGGGGGCCTCTTCGAGGCCTCTTGGAGGCATCTTGGGGGCCTCCTTGGGCCTCTTGGGGGCCTATGGGGGCTTCCTGGGGGTCTCTTTGGCCGTCTTAGGGCGTTCCTGGTCAGTCTGACGCCGTCTGGAGCCGTCTTGGGGGCCTCTCTGGGCCGTCTTGGGGCCCTCTTGGGGCGCTTCAGGGCCGTCTTGGAGGCCATGTTGGGCGTCTTGGAGGCCTCTTGGGCCGTCTTGGGGCGCTCTTGGGGCCGTCTTGGGGGGCCCTTGGGCCGTCATAGGGCCTTCTTGGAGGCCTCCTGGGCGATCTTGGGGGCCTCTTGGGCCGTCGGAAGGCCGAAAAGAAGAAAACGCAAAAAACCTTCAAAAACCTAAGGAAAACCAATGATTTTGGCCTCTTCGGGCTCTCTTGGAGAACGTCTTGGAGGCCTCTTGGGCCATCTTGGAGGCATCTTGGGGCCATCTTGGCCGTCTTGGAGGGCATCTTGGGCCGTCTTGGAGGCATCTTGGAGCCATCTTACCCGTCTTGGAGGCCATCTTGGCCGTCTGGGAGGCATCTTGGAGGCAATCTTGGGCCATCTTGGCCGTCTTGGAGGCCATCTTGGGCCAAGTTGGGGCAACAAAGGCATTGACAGACGGATTTGAGAACTTTAGGTGTGGCCGGAGGGGACGGGCGAAGCCCACCTTTTGGGGAGTTCCTTTAGAAAAGAACCCAAACACAAAAACGAATCAGCAGCACGCGTGCACCCTGTGCAAGAACACAGGGGGCGGCGGATCGAAGACACCTACGGCGAATCACCGCCGCCCCTGCCTTTTTGGAAGCGCCTATGTGGCCGAACGTTGAGGCCAGACCTGCCAAGCTATCGGACCACGTGTTCCCCGAATCGGTTTGAAAGCCTTCGGGGAACACGTGGGCATCTTGAAGGTCATCTTGGCCGTCTTGGAGGCCTCTTGGGCAAGCTTTGGGCGATCTTTGGGGCTTTTTGGGCCGTCTCGGGCCAGCTTCGAGCCAACTTCGGCCATCTTGGTGGGTTCCTGGCACGTCTGACGCCGTCGGGAGCCGTTTTGGGGGCCTTTCTGGGCCAACGGGGGACACTCTTGGGGCGCTCCAGGGCCGTCTTGGAGGCCATCTTGGGCGTCTTGGAGGCCATCTTGGGCGTGTTGGAGGCCTCTTGGGCCGTCTTGGGGCCCTCTAGGGGCCATCTTGGAGGCCACTTGGGCCATCAGGGGGCTCTCTTGGGGGTCTCTTGGGCGATCTTGGGGGCTTCTTGGGCCGTCTTGAGCCGTCGGAGAGCCGAAAAGGCGCAAATGCCAAAATCCTTCAAAAACCAATGGGAAATCAATGAATTTGGCCTCTTCGGACTCTCCTGGAGGACCTCTTGGAGGCCTCTTGGGCCGTCTGGGAGGCCTCTGGGGGGCCTCTTGGGCCGTCTTGGGCAGTCTTGGACTCTCTTGGGCCGTTTTGGAGGCCGTCTTGGACCATCTCGGGCGGACTTGGAGGCCATCTTGGGCCATCTTCGCGATTTTTTGAGGATGTCCCGAGCGAAACGGCCGTTTTTGGGCATTGACAGACTGATTTTCGGCAATTTACGCGTGGCCGGCGGGACGGGCCGAAGCCCACTGGGGAGTTCTTTTAGAAAAAGAACCAAAACCAAAACCTGAAACGTCCAGCACGCCGTGCACCCCTGTGGCAAGACCACAGGGGGCGGCGGATCGAAGACGCCTACGGCGAATCACCGCCGCCCCCTGCCTTTGTGGAAGCGCCTATGTGGCCGAACGTTGAGGCCAGACCTGCAAAGCCATCGGACCATGTGTTCCCCGAATCGGTTTGGAAAGCCTTCGGGGAACACGTGGGCGTCTTGATGGTCATCGTCGTCGTCTTGGAGGCCTCTTGGGCGATCTTTCGGCGATCTTTGGGGGCTCTTGGGCCGTCTCGGGCCGTCGGAAGGCCGAAAGAAGGGAAATGCCCAAATCCATCAAAAAACTTGGGAAAATCAGTGATTTTGGCATCTTTTGGCCTTCCTGGAGGCCCTCTTGGGGGCCTCTTGGGCCCTTTTGGGCCAGCTTCGAGCCAACTTCGGCCATCTTGGTGGGTTCCTGGCACGTCTGACGCCGTCGGGAGCCGTTTTGGGGGCCTTTCTGGGCCAACGGGTGACCCTCTTGGGGCGCTCCAGGGCCGTCTTGGAGGCCATCTTGGGCGTCTTGGAGGCCATCTTGGGCGTGTTGGAGGCCTCTTGGGCCGTCTTGGGGCCCTCTAGGGGCAATCTTGGAGGCCACTTGGGCCATCAGGGGGCTCTCTTGGGGGCCTCTTGGGCGATCTTGGGGGCTTCTTGGGCCGTCTTGAGCCGTCGGAGAGCCGAAAGGCGCAAATGCCAAAATCCTTCAAAAACCAAGGGAAAATCAATGATTTTGCCCTCTTCGGACTCTCCTGGAGGACCTCTTGGAGGCCTCTTGGGCCGTCTGGGAGGCCTCTGGGGGGCCTCTTGGGCCGTCTTGGCCGTCTTGGACTCTCTTGGGCCGTTTTGGAGGCCGTCTTGGACCATCTCGGGCGGACTTGGAGGCCATCTTGGGCCATCTTCGCGATTTTTTGAGGATGTCCCGAGCGAAACGGCCGTTTTTGCGCACGGTGGCGGGTTCTGCCGGAGCCCACTGGGGTGTTCTTTTGGAAAAAGAACCACAACCAAAACCTAACAGCTCGTCCAGCACGCCGTGCACCCCTGCAAGCAGGGGGCGGCGGATCCTAGTGGTCTTCGGCCCATCCCGCCACCGTGCCTGGGTTGTGGGTCTGAGGCCTTTTGTATATGTGTTGGGGTGTCGTGGGGAGCCTCTCGGAGGCCTCTTGGAGGCGGTTTGGGCGCCTCTTGGGGGCCTCTTGGGGCCTCGTGGGTATCTTTTGGGCCTCTTGGAGGCCTCTTGGGCGCGTCTTGGGCGCCTCTTGGGGCCTTTTGGGGCCCCTGGGCGGCCTCTTGGGGCCTTCTGGGCGCTTCGCGGGGCACAAATATCGAATGTTCGGTTCGTGGTCCCCTGCTTGGGACCCTCCTGGGGCCGTCTTGGGTCCCTCTTGGTCAGTCTTGACCGCTTCTTGGGCCATCTTGGAGCCCTCTTGGGCCGTCTTGGGGCCCTCTTGGAGGCGTCTTGGCTTGTCTCGGGGCGGTCTTGGGAGCTTCTTGAGCCGTCTCGGAGCGTCGGAAAGGAGAAATGCGAGAAGGCCAACATCCTTCAAACATTTTCGTACAATCTACGAATTTAGCCTCTTGGAGCTCTCTCGGGAGGCCTCTTGGAGCGCTCTTGGGTCCTTCCTGGGCCCTCTTGGGCTGTCTTGGAGCCATCTTTGGGCGCCTTGGAGCACTCTTGGCCTCGGCAGTGCGACTACAGCGTAGTCTGCAAACGGTTTTGGCTTCGGGGGCGCGAATCATTTGCCCCAGGGACGCGAATGCGGTGTAGTCTGCAGGGGTCTGTGGCCTCGGGGCCGCGAGCATCGAGCCAATATACGAAGGATTATGGCTTCGGGGACGCGAATCTTAAGTATTTTACGTGTCCCACGCCCCCCCAATGAATTCAAGAAACGCGATCCGGGCGTGGTACCCAGCGCTTTGGGGTTCCCCCCCTCCTCGCGCCGGATGTCAACAATTTTTACAGTAGGAAGCAGGGAGACTCGAGACTGCAACTGGTGCAGGGAGCAGCAGCTTCGCCCTACAGCCTGGTGGCCCCGCAAGGTGGCCGGCGGATTTAGGAATGGGCGATGGGGCAGGGTCACATGCAAATTGCAGCGCGAAAAGGGGGCCCGTTCAGTCCGGGGGGGGAGGGGGGTAGATCTTAATGTTCTTTTCAGGAAGGAGAGTGCCACGGGGCGTGAAAGCGACCACAGCCACTGCTTTGCTTTTCTTGCCGCCTTCCAGCCCGCAGAAGCAGAGCAGTGGTTGTGGTCCTTTTCGTCGAGCTCGGCACCAGGGAGATGACCACCACCACTGCTTCTTTTGCGGCCGGCTGGAAGGCGGCGCAGACAAGACGCAGTGGCTGTGGTCATTTTCCCGTCCCGCAGATGCCAGCGTGCCCCTCCCCATGCAAGACTTGGGAAGCAACTGCTGAGAGGTCTTCGTCGGAAGGATGATAGGAGCCCACAAAGGACGTGCGCGCCCAGCTATGCTTCTTGTTTGCGCCGCCTTCCAGCCGGCCGAAAAAGACGCAGTGGCCGTGGTCACTCTCCCGCCCCGCAGGTGCGGCGGTGGCGACGGGGTGGCGACGGGGTGGCGGCGGGGCGGCGACGGCCGGCACAGGACCGCCAGACCGACCACCCGGCCCGGGCGACGGGGCGGCGACGGGGCGGCGACGGGGCGGCGACGGCCGGCAGCGAGCCGCCAGACCGATCACACGGCCCAGATCCTCAGAACGCAGCGAAGAGCCTCTGAGTGCGAGCGCCGCTTGGGCAGTCGATCCGTGTAATTATAAGCACAGGTTGCGCTGGCGCAGCTACCCTCACGCCAACGCTGCCCGAGCAGACTCCTGGTGAGTGAGCATCGAGATGCGCGGCGCGTCCTCCTCCTCCCTGCTCCCTCCCCCCTCCTCCCTCCTCCCCCCTCCTCCCTCCTCCCTCCTCCCTGCTCCCTCCCCCCTCCTCCCTTCTCCTTCCTCCCCCCTCCTGCCTCCTCCCTCCCCCTCCTCCCCCTCTCCCCCCTCGCGTTCCCTGCCCCCCCCCCCCCTCCTCCTGCTCGCGTGCCCGGCGCGCCCCCCGCCGCCCCCCCGGAGAGGAGCCTCCCGGCAGCGACGCGCCAGACCTCGTGGTGCTCTTCTGCGAGGGCCCCCTGGCCGGGCACAAGGCGCCCCCCGCTCGGGCGGCGGCCTCTCCTCGGGGGGGCGCCCGTCGCGGAGGGGGTGCGGGGCCGGCGTGGGCGCGGGTGCCGCCGAGTTCTCCCGAGGGTGCTCGGCCGAAGCACCCTCGGCCGAGGGGGTCGGCGGCGACATCCAGAAGAAGAGATGATACTGCCGGACTGCACGCCGGTCGTTGAAAGTAGGTATTCTTGGGCTCCCAGATCCCAATCTAGGTCAAGCGCCTTCCTACTTCAGGAATCGACACGCTTTTGCTGTGTTTTGTGATTCCCTGGGGGGGCCTGGAGCCAATCAACTTAATCCGCCTTCCTACTCCATGTTTTTACCTACTTCTTCCGACCAGCGGGGCTAATTATTTGAGTTATAGGGCTATAGGGCTATTGGGCTATGCGGCTATAGGGCTATAAGGCTATAGGACTACAGGGCTATAAGGCTATAGGGCAATAGGGCCGTGACGCACCCGGGCGCCCGGGCGGGCCGCGGAAATCGGCGGCACACCTCACCTAACCAAATGATTCCGCTCGGACTCCTACAGAGGCAAGCTCTGATTTGGGAAAAACGCTATAAACATGAGCTTTTGGCGCTCCGCTGGGAATCTGGCGGCGCCTCCGGCGCCGCCCCTGGCGCGCTCCGCGCGCCAGGGAGGGGGTCCGGCGCAGATCCAAGAAATCCGCGCGGAACGCCGAAAGTATGTGTTTACGTATGGCGCTTTTTCTTCTTCCCACCTTTGCCGATCAAAGGTTCGGGTTGCTCGATGGGCGGCGGGGGTGGGGTACGGAAGAAGTCGAGCACGTCGCAAAGCCCGAGCACTCCCGCCGTCTTCCACGGATTTCAGGAGCATCGATGTTTTTGGTGGGGGACGAGTTGATGGGGGCAGGTCGTCTGGGTGGAGCTCGGGCCTGTCCTGGAGCCCTTGGGCCGCCTCGCAGGCTTCTCGGACAGCCTCGGGGCCGTCCGGGGGCTTTCTTGCGGCAGCTCTGGGCCGCCCTGGGAGCTCCTCCGGGCCTTCGGAAGCCTGCCCGAGGCGGTTTGAAGCAGCACAGCGTCGGAAGCAGTCGCATTGGATTTCATCACGTGTGGTTTTCAGTTTTTTCGCCTCTGAGGGCCTCGCCGAAGGCCTCTTGGGGCGTCCCAAAGAGACCTCTTGGGGCATCTGGGGTGGGATCTTGGAGCATGCGGGAGCTCGTTGGTCCGTCTTAGGATGGTCATGCGGCATCTTTCAGCCGCTTTGGGTGGTCTTCGGTTGTCCTGGAACTGCCCGGAAGCCGAACAGTGTGCTCAAAGTGGCTGTTATATTGAGTTCTTGGGCCGTTCTTGGCGCTTCTCGATGCTCTATGAGGCCTTCCCGATGCGATCTGAAGCCGGAAAGCATTGGAAGCAGCAGACGTTATTCCCCAATCAGAGCTTGCTTCTGTAGGGGTCCTAGCGGATATAAAGCTGAGGTGAGGTCGGCGGCCGATTTCGGTGGCCGGGGCCGGGTGCCCGGGTGCCCGGGGGTGCCCGGGTGGCCGATTTCGGTGGCCGGGCCAGGGTGCCCGGGTGCCCGGGTGCCTGGGGGTGCCCGGGTGCCCGGGGGTGCCCGGGTGCCCGGGGGTGCCCAATAGCCCAATAGCCCAGTAGCCCTATAGCCCTATAGCCCTATAGCCGTATAGCCCTATAGCCCTGTAGCCCTATAGCCTTATATCCCTATAACCCTAATAGCCTTATATCCCTATAGCCCTATAGCCCCATAGCCCATATAGCTCTATAGCCCCATAGCCCTATAGCCCTATGGCCCTATAGGTCACAGTCCTATAGCCCGATAGCCCTATAGCCCTATAGCCCGATAGCCGTATAGCCCTATAGCCCAATAGCCTTATATCCCTATAGCCCTATAGCCCTAACACAAATCTGATTGGGTTTTTTCTCCGGTATCATTGATCCACGTGTTTTCCGATGTTTGCCGCTTGTGAGGGCCTCGTTGGAAGCCGCTTTGGGCTTCTTCTGGATGTCTTTTGGGGTGTAATGACGCATCTTAGGAAGGTCTTGGAGCTTTTTTGGGCTCGTTGGGCGATCTTTGGATGATCATGCGGCCTCTGGCAGCTGTTTCAGGGTGGTTTGGGGTTTGTCAACAGTCGAACAGTGCGTTCTTGAGGCTCTGTTGGGGCGCTCTTGAGGCCGTGTTGGGCCGTTTCGGGCGCTTCTGGGCGGCCACTCAAGCTTCCCAATGCGATCTGAAGCCGAAAGGCTTCGGAGGCAACATACGTCGGTGAGCTACGTGGTTTTCAAATTTTTCCGCCTCCGAGGGCCCCGCTGGAAGCCTCTTCGGGCGTCTCCTGGAGGCCTCTCGGGGCCTCTTGGGGATCTTTTTAGACTTTGACATCTTGATGAGCCGTCTTTGGACGATCTTGGGGAGTATTGTCGCCGCTTTGGTACGGTCTTTGGCTCTCTAGAAGTCGTCTTGAGGCCGAAGAGGGCGCTGGAGAGCAACACCAGGAGGAACAATCTTCAAAGGTTGTGCGCAGGTAGGGAGGCGGGTCTGCCTTGGAAACACCACAGAAGCCTCACCAGACAACAAAGGAGCATTCTAAGGCGCTCCATCGTGTCTGCGGCGTAGTGGCGGATCAACGATGCTACAGGTGCCGCTATTTGTTGCTACTGTTACTGCTGTTGCTTATGCCGCTACTTTATCTGCGATCTTTGCTAGTGTAGGTATTCGTAGTAGTGCGACGTACTCCTAATGTCTGAAGCCATTTTCATTAGTGCTATTGGTCGCCCTGGCAAAATTGCACCTGCTGCGGTCATCCATAGTTACCGCTCCTGCTGTCACGAATCGTCACACAGCGAACGCCACTGGCACTGCTACTGCTGCTACTTGTGCTGCCTTCTCGCTCACCACCTCTGTCCACGCTACCAGATCAACAATATTGCTATCAATGGTGGTATCCTTACGACTACTCATCTCATCATTACCACTACAACCAACACTGCTACCACTACCACTACCACTACCCACTACCACTACCGCTACCACTACCATTACAGTTATTGCTGCTACCAAGGCAACAAGACGGTATCGAAGTAGCTGCAGAACGTTGGCTCTAAGTTGCTTTCCCGTCTTGCCAAGGGCTCCTCACAACCCGCTGCGACTGGGATACTAGATCGTAGTCAGGATGGGAAGGCGGCAGCAGGATGATTGGCGGCTATCAGGTGCACGTTCCCTCGACTGGCATCACCATCGGGCGCAGGCACAACAACAACCTTGTGCTCATCGAGGCCCGCTCGAATCCTTGCTTTTTGGTGACGCCGCCGCTTGTCTCTCTTGCTCCACCCACGTTGTCTTCCATGTGACGCCGCTGCCCCTGCAAGATCAGGATTGCTGCCGCTTCCTGGGAGGCCAGGACCCGGTCAGCCGCAGTCATGCAGGCCTCGGAAGAATCATCTAACATTCATGCAGCATTCATTTGTCCATCCCCCCAATGATCAATGTTGGCGGTGGGTTGAATGAGCTGCACTTCGACCGCTGTCTTCCCCGCGCGTGCCAACTTTGAGTTTTGGGGAGCGGGAACGTGTGCACTAATTGTTTCCCTATACCGTAATGCTGAGCACATTCGCTCTTCGTTTTCTTCCTCCTCCTTCCCCTCCTGCTACCGCTCCTGCTCATGCTTCTCCTCCTGCTCATGGTATTCGTCGCCGTCGTCGTCGTTGTCGTTGTCGTCGACGACGTCGTCGTCGTCGTCTCCTCGTCCTCCTCCTCCTCCTCCTCCTCCTCCTCCTCCTCCTCCTCCTCCTCCTCCTCCTCCTCCTCCTCCTCCCCCCCTCCTCCTCTTCCACCCTTCGAGTTCCCATATGTGTATGATTGTGTGTGGTACCATCGGGACCACGGTAGAGGCGGCCAGGTGTTCCCTCTGTCCGAGCAGCCACCACCTCCCCGCAGCTCCTGGTGCTTCTGTTCACGCTCGTCTGTGCTCGCCCATACTGCCCCACACTGCTGCTGCTGCTGCTGCTGCTGCTGCTGCCCTTTCTCCCACGCCGCCCTTACCCTCCTTGGCCCCCCAGACCCCTCCCGAGTACTATCCTGACCACTCTCCCGAGCCGCGTCTAGCCGTGGCGTTGAGCCCCCCCCCTCAGAGGGCCCAGGACACGAGGAGCAGCGGAGGGATGAGGAGGAGATAGTCCCCCTTCCCCTCCGTGCCCTCCGTCTGCTTCTCCCTCGGCGCGTACGACGGCGGCGGCGGCGACGGCGGCGGCGAAGGGCGATGAAAACGGCGACGAAGACCTAGATCTTCGACCCTCGACCCGCGTCCTCGATTCCCGCGTCCCCTCCTCCTCCTCCTCCTCCTCCTCCTCCTCCTCCTCCTCTCCTTCTCCTCTTCCTCCTCCTCCTCCCCCTCCTCCCCCCCCTCCTCCTCCTCCTCCTCCTCCTCCTCTCCTTTTCCTCCTCCTCCTCCTCCTTCTCCTCCTCCTCCTCCTCCTCCTCCGCCTCCTCCTCCCCTCCTCCTCCTCCCCTCCTCCTCCTCCTCCTCCTCCTCCTCCTCCGCCTCCTCCTCCTCCTCCTCCTCCTCCTCCTCCTCCCCCTCCTCCTCCTCCTCTCCTCCTCCTCCCCCCCCTCCTCCTCTTCCTCCTCCACCTCCTCCCTCTTCCCCCGTCTCCCCCTCCTCCTCCGCCGCCTCCTCCTCCTCCTCCTCCTCCCCCTCCTCCTCCTCCCCTCCCCCCCCTCCTCCCTCCTCCTCCTCCTCCTCCTCCTCCTCCTCCTCCTCCTCCTCCTCCCCTCCCTCCTCCCCCTCCTCTCCTCCTCCCCCCTCCCCCTCCTCCTCCTCCTCCTCCTCCTCCTCCTCCTCCTCCTCCTCCTCCTCCTCCTCCCCTCCCCTTCCCCCCCTCCCCTCCCCTCCTCCTTCCTCCTTCTCTTCCTCCTCTTCCTCCTCCGATGGTACAACGGTAATATAGTCTGACACAATGAGACGATTTTCTGGGCGCCCTCGAGCACGTCGAAGTATCTCAAAATGCCATTGCAGAGGCCCCGTCTTTGGAACGAGGTTTGGAAGTTACGCCATCTTCATTCCTCCGCCTGGTCTTGAACCAGGAACGCAGCGCGAATAAGGGCTATACATATGAATGCTCCTGAACTGCATGGGGAGAGAAGGATGAGCGAGAACACGACACGGCACCACAGACAAATTATGCTAGCAAAGCACATGCCGGCAAGACAGGACAAGAGAACACTATTATAGACGAGACGGCGGATGCAGTGATAGGTTAAAATCGTATCCTGGAAGAACGGAGCATATTCGGCAACAAATGCACCGTATGCCGTGCTTGCTACCTCCTCTGCTGCTGCTGAAAAAAAAAACCAATTCGCCACAGCAGCAAACAGGGGAATCACAGACACTAGCGCGAACGAGATTGCAATGCCGTCACTCACGGGTGATCTCAGGGGCGATGCCCTCTCAATTGCCAGCAAGAATATGTCGACCAGTGCCAGGAAAGGCATACACAGCCATATGCTAGCTTCGCAGAAGCTCATGATCACTGCTACCGGGAACGACGCCATTACTGCGACAAGTTGTCGTAGAGCTGCTGCAATCTCTCCTTCTTGGTCTTTCCGGACGTCTTGCAGAGCCCGTTCTCGCCACGGATTTTGCCTTTTAGCACAGAGTGTGTGATGCCGGTCGCATTGCCCAGCGTCTCCAGGAAGGCTCCGTGCTCCATGTCCCAGGCGGAGATGTCCTCGTTCGGGACGATCTGCTGGGCCATCCCTGGGAGGATCGGGTCCAAGGCGTTCACCGCTGCGGGCGGAGCGGCTCTGGGCATCTTCGGCTGCCTCGGAGCACCGGGGGCCGCAGCCGGCGGGGGCGCCGCAGCCGGTGGAGGCGCTGATGACGCCGCTGCGCCAGCGGCGCGCTGCTGCAGCCACTGCGCCACGTCGTGGTCCCTGCGAGCTCGCTCAGCACGCTCGTCCTTCCGGTGTCTCGAGAACATCCTCTTGATCTTCCTGAACGACATGCTCGAAGAAGCTGATCACGACGTGGCCGTGGTGCCGCTCGATGACGTGCTGTCCTGCTTCCGGAGGCGGCGTGTGGCCGTCTTGGCAATCTTGAGGAATTTGAGCGGTGTGTTTCTGCTACTGCCGTCGCCTTTCAGGATGTTGCTCTTCTTGGTCTTCTTGTCCTTCTTGGACTTTTTTCCGGAGAACAGGGATTGCACCGCTGCCTTAGTTTGCCTCTTGAGCCGACGCATCATTGAGTTCTCTTTCTGTTGTTCCTCTTTGGCCTGCTGCTTTTCTTTCTCTTCCGCGAGGAACTTCTCTTGGAACCGGCGTTGCTCATTCAGCTCGTCTGTCACCCAAGCAGGAATGAACCCCTGATCGCGCTCTCCGCGATAAGAGCGATTCTGCTGGTGGTTGCCTCTGCCACCATTGCCATTGTGGTTGGCGCCACGGCCGTACCCACTGGGCCCAGCGACAGCGCGCGTCAGGAAGGAGAACAGGAATGCAAGTTGGAGCAAGTACATATTGCGAACACGTGCAGAGCAGCCGAGTGCCTTACGGACTATGAGCCACTGGTGTTGAGCCAATACGACGACGGATGATGACGTCCATGTACATGTCATTAACCCATTTCGAGACGTACCCATTCTCAAAACAACGCGCTGGAAAACATGGTATGACATTTTGCAGCTTTGATAAAACAGAACCATACATCTTGACCACACTGAAAAATGCAGATCGTTGCCGTCTCGGTATCGATTTGCACGCTTTTGCTGTTCAAACTACGGGCCATTCCAGCCGGAGTACTTCAGCAATGTAGTCGCAGAACGCCTCTTGGCCCCGTAGCGGGTCCCCTTCAGCAAGGGTGTTGCACGTGAGAATCCTCTCGTGCAGCAGTGTACGCAAAATGTCAAACGAAAGCCTCTGCGGGGCTGAATAGAAGGCCGCAAACTTTGGCAGTTTCGGCTTCGCGGAGATGCCCCGGGCAAACTGGAAGTTGACAGAGAATGGCACCACCTCAAAGCTATCCCCAGCCGGTTTGATTTACGATTGAAGATCTGTGATTGGGAGATCTTGTGCCTCACACGAAACTCCCACGTCTGATGGCCACAACTTACGCATCGACGCATACAGACACGAAGAGCAATAAACCTTTGATACAACAAGTGAGTCATCCACGTACAAGAGGCCTCGTACAAGGTCGTCAACGGAGTAGCCTTCCAGATGGATGCCTGTGTCTCGTGCTCGGTTCGGGTTGTTATAGAGATCGTGGATGTCTGCGCCGAGGTCTGACAACGTTCCTGCTTATGAGATACTACCACCCATTGGCCACCCCACCTTACGGCGATATACAGCATCCCCCAAGATGATGAACATGTCACGCATGATGAAGTTGAGTGCCCCCTCGATCTCCTTAAAAGTAATTTTTGTGTGTGTGTGTGTGTGTGCGAGGTATGATGTCTGTATTTGTACATACATATCCGTGTGCTTTTGCTCCCCGGCGTACGGCGATTGAATCTTTCCCCCATTTTCCAGCCACTCTGGCCAACAGTTGCCTTGCTCGCTGAACGCCACGGTGCAAAGACGCATCTTTGAAAAGCTGGCTTGCATCACACTTACACCAGGACGCCACCGGTTTGGCACACCCACACACGCATTGATGACGATAGTGAGGATGTTCGCGTAGTCGACAAACTTTGCGTTTGATAATTTGAGGTAGTTTGTTGACCTCCCAAATTGTCCAGCACGTGTCCCCGGACAGCTTTTTGACCAGTCGTAGAGCTCTGGCTGCCAGCTTAAGGAATTGTTTTTGTGGGGATTTTGCGTTCGCAGCAATTTCCCTGTGGTGGGCGTGGTCTCGCTTGCATACGAGCGTGCTTTCGTCATCCAAACATTTCTCTTTGATTGTAAGGTATGCAGAAGGAAGGGTACTGGGAGAGAAGAGCGTGGGCGAAAGGAACTTGCTGGGAATGTATTTCCTTGCAGCTTTGGTAAGTAATTTTGCCACAGCTTTGGGATGAAGATTGGGGCAAAACTCATAATGCGTTGTGTCTTCGTGGAAGCAGCTGCCCAGCCGGACGATATGATTCCACCACTCAATCGCGAATCGGCGGTGAGTATCCTTGTCCACGGGGACCCATGTCCCAGCAGGGACACGATCCAGCCGAAATCGTTGCATCTGCTGACGTACCCATCGAAGGCGTGGGCAACGGGCAACAAATTGATAACGACCATGGTGATGGACGATGGATTGATGCACTTTTTCCCACAAGGCCGTGTCCGTGATAACGCTCCTGACGTCCCAGTACTGCCAGCACCGGAAGACGTTGTCATGGATGTTGTTTGCATAGGCCGGAGACTGTTTGAGCGCCAGGTACAGGGGGACGGAGAATTGCTGCCAATTCACGATGATGAGAGAGTCTATCACTATGGTTAGGGCTCTTGGTGAAAATGAATTATCCCAGTGCGACCCTACCTAGGAGTTGGAGGATCTAGGAAAGAAACATCTAACATCTATATGAAGCTAAGCTAAGCTAAGATGAAGCTAAGGTAAGATGAAATAAGCTAAGCTAAGATGAGATAAGCAACGCGAAGCTAAGGGAACGTCACTGGGGGAACCGCGGGGCGGATGCCGGGGGAACCGCCCGGGGAAAGCCCCACTGCCCGGCCCTTTAAGCTTAGCTATGCTATGCTAAGCTGCGCTATGCGATGCTATGCTATGCTATGCTAGGCTGCGCTATGCTTTGCTATGCTTGGCTATGTTTTGCTATGCTATGTTATGCTAATGCAGCGCTGCGCTATGCTCAGTTAAACTAAACTAAGCTAAGCTAAACTAACCCTCTAAGCAGAGCCTAGGTAGGGAATTACAACCATGCTATGATATGCGATGCTGCGCTATGCTATGCTACGCTATGCTATGCTATGACATGCTCTGCTTTGCTAAAGCTCAGCGAAGCTAAGATGAAGGTAAACTAAGCTAAGACAAAACTGTGGTAAGATGAAGCTAAGCTAAGGTAAGATGAAATAAGCTAAGGTAAGATGAGATAAGCAACGCGAAGCTAAGGGAACGTCACTGGGGGAACCGCGGGGTGGATGCCGGGGGAACCGCCTGGGGCGAGCCCCACTGCCCGGCCCTTTAAGCCTAATAGTAAGAACCCTTCTAGGCAGAGCCTAGGTACGTAGGGAATCTAATTTTCTTCCACACGTACTGTTCCATGTATGGTGTACGATACTTAGAACACACTCTACCCACATACATCTTGAATACAAGCTTACACCGGCTCTGGAGGTACGGCACGCTGCACGACAGAGATACGACGAACGGGCTAGATGGCAGGAGGTTTCCGTTGGAGAGGAAGTACTCGATCTTCCGACGAGCGCGCCTACACTGTACAGCTGGCAAGTGTATACACAGTGCCCACACACACAGCATGTACTCCGTGACTCGAGCATGTCTCCACACGCGTGCATAGTCCATCCTTGCTTGATGCAGCGCAAGCCAAAATTCCTTCCCACGGTGGTACACATGCGTTCTGACCTCTCGTTGATCCATGCTGAGATGGGTCCCGCACCAATTACAGAGTCCGGTGAACGTGCACGCCGTAGCTTGGAACCGCGATCTGAACGTAGGCTGTACACGAAGGAGGTGCAAAAGGTTGAGGGAATACTCCTGGGCCAAATCCGGTTTTGCTCGGAACCTCGGATAGGCTCTGGGTCGGGCGCCCTGTCCTCGCTGGGAAGCCCCTGCGCCCCGCGGTGTCGGCGGCTCAAGAACCTCAATGGCGAGCTGCTCGTACAGCGATATGTGCATTTCTGAACCGAACGCGATCGGAAACCGCACCAGAGATTGCGGAGATACGTATCGCCAAGACTTGTATCTTGGGCGCTCCGCATCCTTCCCCATGCCACGGATCGTTGCCTGAAAATGTTCTCTGAGTCTGTATGTGCTACCATGCCAACACTTCGTACCACGCCTATAGACTCCATGGAGAAGGCGACGTATACGAGGGAGTCGGAGTTGTGCGAGGGGACAGGCAGGACATGTGCATGATGCGCAAGATTTTTTTTCCAAGTAGGGCTCTTGAAATCGAACTCCAAAATAACTCTCTGTATTTCGGGGCTGGCAGCTCGTAGGGCCCGGCGGGCCCAATGCTTTTTCCCATGGAACCGTGCGAGGAAGCGTGCTCCCAAAACAATGCCAAAGAGAGAAAAAGCGTGCCAGCACAATTGTGATTCCTTTCCACCCAGGAGCCATAATCCCAGGACGCACCAGATCTCTTGGAAGCGTTCCGCATTACGTGGTGACCGATTCTGACTGCAGCTCGACGCGCACACCGACTCACACAGCTGCTTGTGCACGTCCCCGGGGGGGTGAGGTAGACGGAGGCCACAGTGTCGTGCGAGTGCGCTCCATACCAATCTCTCTGGGACGCTTTGTAGGGATGCTGGGAAGCTTTGGCCTGCGAGGTGAGGAAATACACGAATCGTACGCACGTAATTCACATCCATAGGGAAGACATGAAATAGCGAAGGAGACGAACAGGAAAAGGAAGAAGACGATCAGGAAATATGAAACAGTATTTATGCTCCACCGCCCACAAGAGAGTACTAGCGGAGTCGCTGCTATGGTACAGCGGTAATATATTCGTACACAATGGGACGATCTTCCGGGCGCCCTCGAGCACGTCGAAATATTCCAAAATGTCATTGCAGAGGCCCCGTCTTTGGAGCGAGGTTTGGGAGTTACGCCATCTTCATTCCTTTGCCTGGTCTTGAACCAGGAACGCAGTGCGAATAAGGCCTATACATATGGATGCTCCTGAACTGCATGGGGAGAGAAGGACGATCGAGAACACGACACGGCACTACAGACACAGTTTGCTAGCAAAGCACATGCCGGCAATACAGGAACATAAAGCAAGATTATAGACGAGACGGCGGATGCAGGGATATATTACAATCGTGTCCTGGAAGAACGGAGCAGACTCGGCAACACATGCATCGTGTGCCGTGCCTGCTACCTCCTTGCTGCCTCCTCCTCTTTCCCCTCCTCCTCCTCCTCCTCCTCCTCCTCCTCCTCCTCCTCATCCTCCCCCTCCCCTTCCCCCCCTCCTCCTCCTCCTTCCTCTCCTCCTCCTCCTCCTCCTCCTCCACCCCTCCCCCCCTCCCCCTCCTGTTCCTCGTCCTCCCCCCCCCTCCTCCGCCTCGTCCTCCTTCCCCTCCTTGTCCTCCTTTTCCTCCTTTCCTCCTCGTCCTCCTCCTCCTTCTCTTTCTCTCCCTCCCCCTGCCCCTCCTCTTCCTCCTCTTCCTCCTCCTCCTCCTCCTCCTTCCTGTCCTCCTCCTCCTCCTCCTCCCTCCTCCTCCTCCCTCCTCCTCCTCTTCCTCCTCCTTCTCCTCCTCCTTTCCCCCCCTCCTCCTCCTTCCTCTCCTCCTCCTCCTCTTCCTCCACCTCCTCCTCCTCCTCCCCCCCTCCTCCTCCTCCTCCTCCTCCCCCTCCTCGTCCTCCTCCTCCTTCTCCTCCTCCCCCTCCTACTCCTTGTCCTCCTCCTCCTCCTCTTCCTTCTCCTCCTTCCCCTCCTCCTCCTCCTCCTCCTCCTCCTCCTCTTCCTCCTCCTTCTCTTCCTCCTTTCCCCCCCCCCTCCTCCTCCTGCTGCTCCTCCTCCTCCTGCTGCTCCTCCTCCTCCTCTTCCTCACCTCCTCCTCCTCGTCCTCCTCCCCCTCCTCCTCCTCCTCCTCCTCCTCCTCCTCCTCCTCCTCTCCCTCCTCGTCCTCCTCCTCCTTCTCCTCCTCCCCCTCCTACTCCTTGTCCTCCTCCTCCTCCTCCTCTTCCTTCTCCTCCGCTCCTTCCTCCTCCTCCTCCTTCCTCCTCCTCCTCCTCCCCTCCTCCTCCTCCTCCTCCTCCTCCTCCTCCTCCTCCTCCTCCTCCCCCTCCTCGTCCTCCTCCTCCTTCTCCTCCTCCCCCTCCTCCTCCTTGTCCTCCTCCTCCTCCTCTCCCCTCTTCCTCCTCCTCCTCCTCCTCCTCTTCCTTTTCCTCCGCCCCTTCCTCCTCCTCCTCCTCCTCCTTCTCCTCCTCCTCCTCCTCCTCCTCCTCCTCCTCCTCCTGTCGCCCGTCGGTGGCGGCGAGCGAGCCAGCGGCGACGCCTCGCCCACCCCGCGCCCCTGCGGGCGCCCCCGCGCCCTGCAGGACGGCACCGTCTCGGCCCACCACGCCCCGCCCCCGGCGGGCAGCGCGCGCGCGCGGGATTGGACGACGGCGGCGCCGACGGAGGCGGCGGCGGCAAGGACGGCGGCGGCCCCCGCAGCTCTCCCCTAGGGATGCCTGAGGAGTGCGGTGTCCGCTAAAGGTTTTTCGATTGGTCCTTCTACCCTTTTCTCTCTGCGGTGAATACGTCGGACTGGGGAGGCCCTAGGAAGGGCTGAGGAGTGCGGTAACCGCCAAAGGTCTTTCGTTTTGGTCTTCCCTCTTTTCTCTTGGCGGTGAAAAGGACTAGTCCTAACACCTCCTCCTTCTCCTCCTCCTCCTCCTCCTGATCTCTCCTCCCTCCTCCTCCTCCTCCTCCTCCTCCTCCTCCTCCTCCTCCTCCTCTGTTGCGCGGCGGGTGCCTCAGAACAAACATACATGGTTACCCCCTATTGGTGGGACCCCAGTCCTTCAACAAGGCCGCCGAACAAGTCATGGGTTACCCCGTAACAGGGGGTGGGTGTTCTAAAGACCTTTCAGGGTTATTCGGTTTGCGACGACGACGCCGACCTGCTCGACTACGACGGCGTCGTCGGGGTCTCTGGAGGTCTCTCCTGAGGTCGCCAGGGGGCCCTCGGACGCCTCCGCAGGCGCTTTCGGAGGGGTCGAGCAAAACTGCCCAGAATGGTCAGAATCCTCGATCCGACGACGCTGGCGGCGACGATCGGTACGATCGGAGTGGGGACACAAAGACAAGCAGCAGTTCTTGCCCAGTTTGATCAGGGCTCGCTGTCAGTGTCGCCGCAGACGTTGCCCATTTGAGGCAGGATGTCGTCTGGCCAACGGCGGCCGTAGTCGGTTTCAGGGAACATTCTGGGCGCTTCGCGTCTCCTCGCCAAGCCATCCGGTCACGATGCCCAGGTGAGCTGGAGACGACGACGACGACGACGGCGACGGGCCAACCGTAAAAAGCCTTCGCGGAGGCTTCGCGCCGTGAGCCTTTGGGAAGCGCCTTGGGTGCCGCTGTCGAGGCCTCTTGGAAACACCTCGGAGCCACTCTTGATGGGCCTGTTTTCCACCACCACCACCATAAGTTGGAGGGGGAGGGGGTCCTCCTCCTCCTCCTCCTCCTCCTCCTCCTCCTCCTTCCCTCCCCCTCCTCCTGGTGGA